GTGGATAGTGATATGCAACTAGTGTTATAATGAAGGCATCATACAAGAAATATGACTAATATATCAGATGACTATATATGGTCATGTGACATTACTGATATGCATAATTGTAATACGTAGTGTTAGGAGATGAAGTACTGTTGCAGATAAGGACATGCAACTAGTTATATTAATTTTGTTGTCAGGAAAATATGTAACCAACATATCAATTCATCATAACTTCCTCCTCTATGTGATGTGTACTGGGAACGTCTGGACAAGCGAGCTGAATAAATCATCGGTGACACGTCTCATCCTCCGCATGATTTGCTCGAACTCCTACGATCTGGCAGGCGCTATCGATCCCTGGCATCCACATCGTCCCGGTCAGCCAAAGGCCTCTACCCCATAGCCGTCCGACGCATGACGTCAAATTTATGTAAGGCCCCTAGTAGTCATTGTTACATCTTGCCAAGGATTGTATTTTAGATTGTATTTTAGTGCGCAAGGCCAATCTAATTTCTATGTTTAATTTTAATATATTTAGCCAATAAACTATGATGATGATATATGGTAGTGATTTTTATACCATAAACATCTTAACCAGTGCATTACATTATTTAATGCTAATTTTCTCTATTAAAAGCACATATGCTTAAATGTAATTGACAAAGGCAAGACCATGTTGACATATTTCAATAATTTTGCATGCAATAAATGCAATGTTTGCTTTGTGCACTAAAATAGTGTTTCTAACAATAAATACAGTATTCCTTATTTGTATTCCATGCCTCAATACACTCAGCACACAGAATTTCTTTCTAAGCTTCCTTTGATTTAACTTTTTTCATTATGCTAATTACCTATGAATTGTACAGAATGATGGCAATACTGTAAACTAGGTAATCATGGCTTGCTTCCTGGTTATCTGCCTTTGTGTTCTAGATATGACAAAATAACTACAATGCACATGTTACTGACAACAGATTTGTAATAGCATGTCTGTAGTTATTTGTAACATAACTCGAAAACACAGGCAGATAAAGGAAAACCCAGATGCAATTTTCTAGCATACGAGTATTACCAACGCTCTGTGTAATTCACAGGCAATTAACATGACAAAAGTGTTAAAAAACAGGATTTTTAATGGTGAAAAAAGTAATGATACTGGCCATCAGGTAATCTCTTTAAACAAACATGTGTATGTCACATGAATGTCGGTATTTGCCGATATTCAAGCTTTTAGATGATGTAGGTGTTGTTATAGTAGCATGCGCTAAGCAATTATGACTGTTTTTGTTCAGTACATTTTTCTGCAGGCAACATTAAAAATGTATATGAAAGGATGCACTTAATTTTTATATTAATATAGATACCTGTTTTATTGGTGAATACGAGTCTAATAAAGTAAACTTTTTTCTTGTACAATATAGAATTTATCACTCCAACACTTCTTGCAATCATGGTGTCCACATTCACTAAGCCAATGGTGCCACTTGGTGGAGGTATTAGAGAGAGAAAAATATGGTGTGAATAGAAGAGATGTCAGTGATTTATTGCAAAGATATCTGCCTCCTGGTATACGTACTGCAGGTATTACAACCATATCTTCAAAACAGAAAAAAAATTTCATTTTAGCTAATCTAGTTGCCATATATTTTATGATTAGGTTGTTTTCTATTGACTATTGACATCCATGTTTGCTATTGACTGTACTGAACCATCTTTAAAGTGTTCTGACTGTATCTATGTTTGCTATTGACTGTAATGAA